CAATTTTCTTGAATGTTTGAACTAACCAGGCAATTTTTAGTTAAAATCTTCATCGACTGGCACGTGATTTCAGAAGATCGTTACACGGTGCGAACAATTCCCATTTCGATCAATATCATTTTGTCCAGTTTTGTATTTCTGCGCCTGTACCTACTGTGTCGCTTCATGGCATTGCATAGCAAGCAGTTTCAAGACGCTGCCACGAGAAGCATTGCGGCCCTGAATCGGATAACAGTAGATTTTGATTTCGTACTGAAGACGATGATATCCGAACACCCGATCAGAGTGTTGCTGCTATTCACTGGAATTCTTTGGATAGTGATGGCATGGTTGTTCTGTCAATGTGAAAGGTAAGTGACATAAACTATGCACAAAGCTATATGAGTCACTAATTGGCAAGAATGGCTAAACCCGGCACATGCGACTAATATGCGTTCTTAACAAACTTGTGTACGCGGCTTGCTTCTAATATGATACAACGAATCGTAAATTTCAAATCTTAGTTTCTTGAGTGTTACGCAGAAAACACGACTAGCTACCACCTCCTACTGAGACAGAGACTGGCTCATTAATGCAAAAAATCACTATTTACATGAGGGAAGCTCAGATAAATATCATGATAGATATGCCAGTGTATGACAAATAAACATTAAGTCGCACGCTATATATGTCACATAGCGGATGACATTGTTTCAGGGTTGAAAAATTCTTGCCTTGCAGAGTCGAAACGATAATCAGGGCTGCACTATTAGCTCCTAGAAAAACCAATGAAACAAATGACTTCATTTTGACTGTCATGCGGGTTAAATGGTTATTTTTTGTTAAATGTTGTCATGTATCAGTGCAGTAAATATTTTTCATATCAAAATAATTATCTGTTGCACTGAGCGAAGTCTATGAATCCTATGTGTTTCACATTTCTACTGAATAATTCAAAGTCAAAAACTACAATAGACTGGAAGATGATAGTGACTAAACTGTAAAGGGTAGTCAAAAGTAAAGGGAAAAGCGAAAAGCGATAGAGATGACAGAAACTTATCAGTTGATGTATTCATTACTTTCAGGTACAATGGGCAAAACGAAGGCTACCTCTTTACGAATTCAATATGGTTCATCATCATCACGTTCTTGTCAGTAGGTTATGGTGATGTGACGCCAAGAACCTTCTGTGGCCGAGGAGTCGCTTTAACGACCGGAATTCTGGTACATTACAAAAAAGCTAATTGCAATGAAGATTATAAACGCTCTTCAGGGAGCTGGTGTTTCGTCAGCATTAATCGCGGTGATCAGTAGGCACATGGAATTGACGCGGGCTGAAAAGCAGGTGAACAATTTCATGTCTGATACAAAGCTTGAGAAGCAGGTAAGGAAAGGTTATCAAAATATTTTAGTTAAGAGTTTTTCAGCGTAAAGATGTGGCTGCAAAAGTACTTCAGTATCGATGGTTCATTCACAAGTACTGCGGTTCTAAGCGATCGATAGACAGGGCGAAGCTGCGCAATTACCAAAGAAAGTTTCTCACTGCAATTAATGAGTAAACTTAAATTTTTAGTTAAATTTTATGCTGATTTTTAACTCATCGGTAAACATTTCGACAGGTTGCTTTGGGAACACGTACTAAAAGGTACGCTTTATGAAGAATGCTAATATTTTGTTCTGTGTGAAAGTGACAACGGCGTGGTGGTGCGTACTCAATAAGTAGCGATTAGACACGTGACTTTTAAATGCTCCATGGATGACAGAAGAGAATTCATATGAATCGTTTTTCATAGGATATAATGAAAGTTGGAAATTAGGCGATCGTTTCATTCCAATTGCTCTGTTCATTCGTCATCGAAGACTAAGAAAGCTAAGCTCGAGCGGTTGGTTGATCAGACTTACTTATGTCCGAAACATTGAAATGTTTCGAATTTATATTCACTACTGTTCATTGCCAATCATCTACGAGATTTTCACAAGGGTAATGACGAAGAGACTTCACGAAACATTTGGGCGTTGCATAGTCCTATGTGCAAGCAGGATTCAGAAGAGGATTTAGTAGGATGAATTTTCCGCAGTTGGTACAACAAATAATTCAGACAAGCCATGAATATCAGCTTCCTCTTTGCTTGAGGCTGGTCGATTTCAGAAGGTTTTCGACTCAATATACAGTCGTTCTTTACTGGACTTTTGAGGGATAAGAGAACTGAATTGAGATATGTATTTAACCTGAACGCCATGATTTACAAGAATGCAACTGCTAGTGTGAAGCTTCATGATAACGCATTCAAACTCAGAATTGAATAGAGCGTTCGGCAGGGTGATGCA